GGTAATGGCAATATAACACAGGGTTGAGTTAGATACTATCAGTAGAATATAAAGAGAGAATATATAAATACAACAGTTACCAGAAAATCTAGAAAGAATAGAGGGGAGAGGGAGATGATAAAGGCACTTATCAAGTTTGTCCTTGGGGGTCGCCCTGGGGGGTCAGTCCCTGGCCAAGATGGCCGCCGACTGCCGGCTTGGTATAGTTTTGCTGACTGTTCCCACTTGGGGTGTTTGTTCGATATCCCAATTTAGGAGACTACGTTGCTCTGGGGCAGTAATCTGTGTGATCTTTGATTTGGTATCCGATATGGTGTTTACTCCATAATGGTTAGAACTGTGTGGTGTGTGTAAAATCTGTGGGGGGAAAATCTCGTTCGAATTGATGCAGAATCAAGGTTGGGGGTTATTATAGGCCTAATAGTGCACCACGTGATTTATGTCCAGGCCCCCGTGACATGCAGTTGTCATGTGACATGTAATTAACTAATTGAATTGCAAAAACAATTCCGACAGCAAATAACCGCATCCACAACAACAATGCGTGGATGCAAAGAAAGAAACCATTTTAAACCCCTTTCTGTATATTTGTATTTGTATTCCTTTCTGAAACTATCATTCTACAAACAGTTGTGTTCACCGCCCATTGTGATACTTCTACTTAAGAAAATAAAAAAGGATGTTTATTTAGTCATTTGACATGCGTTCATTGTAAACAAGGATTAGTGTGAAAGGATTACTAAGTTTGTCATCCAGTATAATGCACTTCCTCGATTAGCATAATTAGAACAGAATGTGTAATTAGTTATATCCTGACTCCAGTTAACCAAGGCAGCCCCTTTCGGAAACACATTAAATGGCCTGGCCGGGCCCGTGTGCGAAATACGCATCAGTCGGAAAGCGCACGTTAAATCTCCAAAGTAAGTAAGTAAGTAACCAAGGCAGCTACATCAGTTGTGATTTATGAATTTGTGGAATCTTAATGAAAATAACGACCGCCTGTCAAAAAATGCAAACGAACATTGAACACGCACAGTTGCAGATTTTCCTTTCGTACATTTGAGAGTGAACGTGAACGAAGCCGTGCAAGATGCTTGACAGCGATTTGTCTTCAGAACACATATTGAGCTCAGGTAAGTTTATTAATGATGATATTTTCATCCATTCATAGATATGGCGATCATGAGCGCTGACACTATATGTATTCGCAATAGAACATTTGGAAGACTAGACACAAATTGAGTCACAATATGACAACATCAAATCAAAGAATTTGTTTAATGCAACAGATTTAAGGCATTGAAATTGTACATTATTATAAAATACATGAGTGTCGCTACGTCTCATGTCAAATACATCAATGAATTCTTTATAAAAAAAATTTAATTTAATATTACTATGAATTTATAGCTAAAATTATGGAGTCTTGCATGTCGAGCCAACAAACTATAGTACATATTATTCACCTTGGAATTTCTGTTTACTGTGCTTGCGGTGGGGTCAACCCTATTCCCAAAAAGGACAGTTCCAAATACTACTGCATAAAATATTAATGCCAATTTGGAGAAAATTACCAAATGAATGAATGCAAGTAAAACTTAATCCAGGGGAAAAGAAAACTGTTCAATATCACGTCAAAGTGTGCCCAAGTGCAAAACCTAATCTTAAAATGAAAGGACTTTGGTATTAATATTTCAGTCAGATTATGATATTGGCGAGTTAACGAGGTAAGCCCTATGATTAATTGTCTTAAATACCTTTCTGGTGTCCACCGCCGTGAACCATACTCAATCACTCAGATAAATAACCCCTTTTACATAAGTCATGAACAAGCATATATATATTGCCAATATTTTGCTCCCATGTTTTGGATAATTGTACCAAAGAAAAAGAATTAATCCTAGAATGTCTACACATTAATTCATCACGGACGCTGAAATAATGCCGATGAGACGTTAATTTTTACCTCGCCCACTCACTGATTACGGACTATTTGTGGGCCAATAAGAGGTACAAGCCACGTGAAAATGTAGAGTGAGACCAACGTAGCCATTACACCTTTTTACAAGATGGAAAACATCTTTGCTGTTAGTGATTACATATAAAGAAATCTAACCAATTCACAGGCTATACGTTGTAGAACTGAATGCAAGTCATTCCTACATGATACCATTAATAATTGGAATAGTCACCGGAAAAAGAGGATTATTAAACTTAGACAATGTTATATTCAGTTAAGCTATGATACCAGATTTTGTCACTTTAAACTTCCATCGGCTTAAAAAACACATCTCAGATAACACATCATGCATGCTCTTGTGGCTGTCACAATGGTACACTGCATTAATTTTTACACATGCCCCAACTACAATATATTTAGAAACGATTCTATTCTAAAGGTTAAGTGAGTTTCTAATCAGTGGTTTATTGGAAACAATTTGAACAGTGCCTAATTTACCTATTTTGAAATCGGCCATGTACATCCGACGTTCGGGTGGATTTGCACATATATAATAACTAGTAGTAAGACTTAATACATACTTTGAGACACGTATTAAGTATTAAAGAGTTAAATAACTTTTCTTAGGAAACCCCTTTCCATCAACCGCACTGTTGACCTATCTTTTTTGTTCTGTTTTGATGTATTGATGTATTATTTAATACAATATGTATATCTCCCCTCATCCCAATGTTAATAAAAGGAAGCTTGGTGGGGACTTTTGGGATATAAGAAATGAATACAGTCTGCCATATTGTCTGAATGTCTTAACAATCACCGGGTGTGACCACGTAGACAGGATATCATTCGGGTTTCTCATAATTACTCCATGAGCATGCTTGGTATTGTAGCTTGGGGATATTAAATGTAAGTTTGTTATCAGAGGAGATTGATAGTGAACTTTTAGTACCAGTTAGATATGATATCTATATGACTTCTTTCTGTTTGACAAAGGATTAAGGGTATATGTGTGGGTAATCCTTCCACGCTGATGAAAGAAAGTCACTCTACTAGTTCATGTAATCTACGTCAAATAAGATCAGAACACATGCATTATTACAACATACTCAGGATACCAATAACAACGAAATGTACAAATTAACAAACATGATCAATATTATTATTACATGTTAATGCCATGTATGTAAATATAGCTATATAAACATATGTTTAATTTTCAGCTTGTGTGAAGTCGTCCATAAATACAAGAAAACGTATATTTTCCCAAAATTATATTACCCTCAAAAGGGCAATTATATTCATGTTACATTTTTACATTCAGTCTCTTTTTTAATTCGAATGACGTAACATTTATGTTACTTTGATTTTATTAGACCCATGTTGTTGTTACAGACCCAGGGATTGACTAGGTTCATTACATGTCATAAAAGTGCCGGGACATAATATGGTGGCAATACATTCTCTAATTAACACCTGTCACAAAGGGACGGGCAATTTGGGTTTGTCCTCAGGGAATGTGTTATGCAATTTGTGTATTCACGAAATAACATTCAACAAATTATGTACATGGTCCTGTGATGTAGGATTGATGCATTCGTACTTTTTATAAATAAATGAATTGCATTTTTTTTCTTAACCGTGTGCGAAATACGCATAATGTCGGAAAGCGCAAGTTAAATACTGACTTCATCCCAAAATAAATCACAAACCCTCTCTTATAATTTGTATATTATTCTATATTTTAATTATGTAAATCACGTTCCTGTCACTTTTAAAGTAGAATACGTTAGTCACTCAACCAATTCCATTATTATTTTCCCAAAGATCAAAGATTAAAGCAGTTATCAAGATTTATTTTCCATATCTTTAAAAATACTTAATCTTTACATTGAAACTGCCATCATGATGTATTATTATTATTATTATTATTATTTTTACTATTATTATTGATGTACATATGGTTTGCACCCAACCATGCGCGTGCCAAATTATACAGCGTCAAGCTTTTAGAGCGCCAACTAAGTTTTCCAAAGTAGAAATTAAGCCAAATGAATATATATCAAGTTTCCTTTTGCTAGAACATATGCATGCTGTTGTGTTTTTTCAAGGTAATCTTCGTTCTCGCATTGATAACAATATTTAAAGAACAAGTATTATAAAATATAATACGGGAATATATTACACACGTTATTTACGCATCCGGTTGCTCATAATACAATTTTCCCCAAGGACTACCGTTTTACAAAACGCGATTTTCCGCGTTTCCGCCGAGATTTCACATTATAACAATGTATATCTACAATGAAACCGACAGCTCAGAACAAACCAAATTCAACACTTTTAAGTAGTGATAAAATAGTTTTCATCCTCTGTGCAATCCACTCTGTTGGCATATGTGCACGAGAGCATGTTACAAAACACATCGCGGCCTCCCCGTAAAACAAATCCAAGCTCAAACACTTTCAATACAGAAGTTACCGCCAAAGCAATCGCCCCCGACAGCTAATCCCCTCTGTGCATTTGACCATAAAGTCTACTCACATACCAAGCACCGCGCCAGGAAAAGTACCAGACGCCTCAACCGCCCACCCGTCAATATCATTGCAAGGACAGTATGTACTCCCGCTAACAGTGTGGAGTACTAATTAAACCTTCCAGTAATGTTACCCGCCACTAAATCAGTTTTTTGTAACTTGCTGATACTATTTTGCACATACAAAACATTTATAGAGCAATACATAGCAATTATCCTCCTTTACCAACATATACAAAGAAACACAGTGCTCAACTTAAAACACTTCAATTTGCACATATATCATAATTATACACAAATACATAATAATTATCTCCCTTTACCAATATATACAAACAAAACAAATTTGGATACACCATATATACAAATTTGTATATTTTGTATATGTCATATATACAAACTTGTATATTTTGTATATATCATCTTTCCAATCTTGTATATCCTTTGGAAATATCATCTTTCCAAAGGATATACAAGCTTGTATATATGGATTTTTTTTGCAGTGACACCGATAATGTTAGCAGCAGAGAATGGCCACAAGAACGTCTTTGATCTACTGGTGAAAAAAAGATGCAGTTTGTCAACAGTGGATGATTCAGGTGGAAACATTCTTCATTGCGCTTGTGTTGGTGGCAATGTACAGATTGTTGAGTACATTATCTCACAACGCTCAGTTAATCTAACCAGAAAAGATAAAGAAGGACAAACACCGATTATGTTAGCAGCAGAGAATGGCCACAAGAACGTCTTTGATCTAATGGTGAGGAAAAGATGCAATTTGTCAACAGTGGATGATTCAGGTGGAAACATTCTTCATTGCGCTTGTGTTGGTGGCAATGTACAGATTATTGAGTACATTATCTCACATGGGTTAGTTGATCTAACCAGAAAAGATAGAGAAGGGCAAACACCGATAATGTTAGCAGCAGAGAATGGCCACAAGAACGTCTTTGATCTACTGGTGGACAAAGGATGCAGTTTGTCAACAGTGGATGATTCAGGTGGAAACATTCTTCATTGCGCTTGTGTTGGTGGCAATGTACAGATTGTTGAGTACATTATCTCACAACGCTCAGTTAATCTAACCAGAAAAGATAAAGAAGGACAAACACCGATTATGTTAGCAGCAGAGAATGGCCACAAGAACGTCTTTGATCTACTGGTGAAAAAAAGATGCAGTTTGACAACAGTAGATGATTCAGGTAGAAACATTCTTCATTGCGCTTGTGTTGGTGGTAATGTACAGATTGTTGAGTACATTATCTCACAAGGCTCAGTTGATCTAACCAGCAAAGATAAAGAAGGGCAAACACCGATAATGGTAGCAGCAAAGAATGGCCACAAGAACGTCTTTGATCTACTGGTGGACAAAGGATGCAGTTTGACAACAGTAGATCAATCAGGTAGATACATCCTTCATTGCGCTTGTGTTGGTGGCAATGTACAGATTGTTGAGTACATTATCTCACAAGGCTCAGTTGATCTAACCAGCAAAGATAAAGAAGGGCAAACACCGATAATGTTAGCAGCAAAGAATGGCCACAAGAACGTCTTTGATCTACTGGTGGACAAAGGATGCAGTTTGACAACAGTAGATCAATCAGGTAGAAACATCCTTCATTGCGCTTGTGTTGGTGGCAATGTACAGATTGTTGAGTACATTATCTCACAAGGCTCAGTTGATCTAACCAGCAAAGATAAAGAAGGGCAAACACCGATAATGGTAGCAGCAAAGAATGGCCACAAGAACGTCTTTGATCTACTGGTGGACAAAGGATGCAGTTTGACAACAGTAGATAAATCAGGTAGAAACATTCTTCATTGCGCTTGTGTTGGTGGCAATGTACAGATTGTTGAGTACATTATCTCACATGGCCCAGTTGATCTAACCAGAAAAGATGGAGAAGGGCAAACACCGATAATGTTAGCAGCAGAGAATGGCCACAAGAACGTCTTTGATCTACTGGTTGACAAAAGATGCAGTTTGACAACAGTAGATGATTCAGGTGGAAACATTCTTCATTGCGCTTGTGTGGGTGGCAATGTACAGATTGTTGAGTACATTATCTCACAAGGCTCAGTTGATCTAACCAGCAAAGATAAAGAAGGACAAACACCGATTATGTTAGCAGCAGAGAATGGCCACAAGAACGTCTTTGATCTACTGGTGAAAAAAAGATGCAATTTGACAACAGTAGATGATTCAGGTGGAAACATTCTTCATTGCGCTTGTGTTGGTGGCAATGTACAGATTATTGAGTACATTATCTCACAAGGCTCAGTTGATCTAACCAGCAAAGATAAAGAAGGACAAACACCAATTATGTTAGCAGCAGAGAATGGCCACAAGAACGTCTTTGATCTACTGGTTGACAAAAGATGCAGTTTGACAACAGTAGATGATTCAGGTGGAAACATTCTTCATTGCGCTTGTGTGGGTGGCAATGTACAGATTGTTGAGTACATTATCTCACAAGGCTCAGTTGATCTTACCAGCACAGATAGAGAAGGGCAAACACCGATAATGGTAGCAGCAGAGAATGGCTACAAGAACGTCTTTGATCTACTGGTGAACAAAGGATGCAGTTTGACAACAGTAGATGATTCAGGTAGAAACATCCTTCATTGCGCTTGTATCGGTGGCAATGTACAGATTGTTGAGTACATTATCTCACAAGGCTCAGTTGATCTAACCAGCAAAGATAAAGAAGGGCAAACACCGATAATGTTAGCAGCAAAGAATGGCCAAAGGAACGTCTTTGATCTACTGGTGAACAAAGGATGCAGTTTGACAACAGTAGATGATTCAGGTGGAAACATTCTGCATTGCGCTTGTGTCGGTGGCAATGTACAGATTGTTGAGTACATTATCTCACGAGGCTCAGTTGATCTAACCAGAAAGGATAGAGAAGGGAAAACACCGACAATGTTAGCAGCAAAGAATGGCCACAAGAACGTTTTTGATCTACTGGTGAACAAAGGATGCAGTTTGACAACAGTAGATCAATCAGGTAGAAAAATCCTTCATTGCGCTTGTGTTGGTGGCAATGTACAGATTGTTGAGTACATTATCTCACAAGGCTCAGTTGATCTAACCAGCAAAGATAAAGAAGGGCAAACACCGATAATGTTAGCAGCAAAGAATGGCCACAAGAACGTCTTTGATCTAATGGTGAACAAAGGATGCAGTTTGACAACAGAAGATGATTCAGGTAGAAACATCCTTCATTGCGCTTGTGTTGGTGGCAATGTACAGATTGTTGAGTACATTATCTCACAAGGCTCAGTTGATCTACCCAGAACAGATAAAGAAGGGCAAACACCGATATTTGTAGCAGCAAAGAATGGCCACAAGAACGTCCTTGATCTACTGGTTGACAAAAGATGCAGTTTGACAACAGTAGATCATTCAGGTAGAAATATCCTTCATTGCGCTTGTGTTGGTGGCAATGTACAGATTGTTGAGTACATTATCTCACAAGGCTCAGTTGATCTAACCAGCAAAGATAAAGAAGGACAAACACCGATAATGTTAGCAGCAAAGAATGGCCACAAGAACGTCTTTGATCTACTGGTGAACAAAGGATGCAGTTTGACAACAGTAGATGATTCAGGCATCTGAAAATGGCCAAGGGCCTGTGGAGAGACGATCAGTGTAGCAATGTTGTTCCTTCTTACAATGAAAATAGCAAGTATGGTGATGTTCGGATTCCGATGTAGGATGGAAATAATTTATGTATTAGAAGAACTTCAGAAGTGAAGGTCATTTCACAAACCTATCAGTAAGACTGGACTGTATCATCTGTGGTTTTACAAACTTATTGAAAAGTAGCATGTCTACGTGTTCTCATTGTAAGTTTGTTTTCATATAGACTATGCTAGATATTCATATTACTTGTTCAATATTAAGTATTTCGATATATGTTTTTACAATCAAGGTAGGAGACATAATGAGTGAGTGAGTGAGTGAGTATAGTTTTGCGCCGCGTTTAGTAATATTCCAGCAATATCACGGCGGGGGACACCAGAAATGGACTTCACACATTGTACTCATGTCGGGAATCGAACCCGGGTCTTCGGCGTGACGAGCGAACGCTTTAACCACTAGGCTACCCGACTGCCCCAGAAGACATAATGAAAAACTATTGAATGCAATGTTTGAAGTAGAAAGTGATTAGTCTTACACATGGGTACAATATTTGTAACGCTTCATGACAATGGACAGAGAGTAGAAGTCAGTTGCTTCAATTTCTTATGATAACAATGGATTCTGTTGTTTTTGTTTGCAATGATGAATGCATCAAAGGACGTTTTTAGTACTTGATCTTGATAATGATTCTTTTCGCTCAGACAGCAATATGGTTAACTACATGATTGTATGTACAAACTCCAAACATGACAGTATATTTTGTGAATTCAAGTTCAGTATTACTGTTGATTAATATTTCTACCTGTGACCAGAAATACTTGACGTTTTCACATTCATAATAATTATGTGATAAATCTTCTTTATAGCACTTACAGAATGTACAAATATCACCATCAACTAAGTTCATCACAAGTAATTCTTTCTTGTTCTATCGGCAAAATTTATGATTCCATTTTCATTACAATTATCGCTTATAAAATGCACACCATGATGAAACCAAATGCCTCATATGAAGATTCAAAATGATCATTTAACCAAAGTGGTTAAACCGTGATTTGTTCTATATCATCCTTATCAAACTCATGTTTCTATTAAATATGCCCCATACAGTCAACTATCCCTCTAATAAGGCAAGTATTCTGTTTATAATGTCTACTGTCGGTTCATTGTATTGAGTACTCATAGGTCTTTTAATGAAGGGTTTAGTTCAATACCTAAGATTTCAAAATCTCCTTTGTACCAGTCTAGTTTTAAATCATTACTTAAAGGTATATTATTTCTCGACATTGCACATATCCAGGCTGCTTTAGTCTTATCAACATTCTTTATAAGGCCAAACATTCAACAAAATTTATATAGTGTATCTATGGCAGCATTTAGGATATTTTCGGGTCCATTCTGAAAGAGTTGGGTATCATCAGCATATTGTCCTAATTTATGTTCAAGTTTATTGTCATACCCTTTATGTTAGAATTAACCCTGATCATTATACCTAATATTTCGAATACAAATATGAATAGATAGGGAGATACAGGCTCTCCTTGTCTACACCCCTTTCTAACCAAAAAAGATTAAATATCCCCATAATAATGAAGGCAGGAGGCAAAAAATCGATATATGCATCAAAAACTGTCCTTTTTGTGATCAAGGTATATAGGATGAATATCATCATCTACTTCTATGTATCATGCGTATGATAGAAGAGCTATTTGTTAAACAATGCTTAAAATTATGTATTCTGTCACTACCAAACTTGTATATAGGTGTATGCCCTTCACACTGAATTAGGCATTGATTGATTGAAATCTAATACTTGTTCATTAAACTGCTTTGAGACTGTGTCAAAAGCTTTTTCAAAATCAATTAATAACATCAAGCCTGGCTTATTTAACTCTCCAGTTTCAAAGATAATAACAAAGAGTTTTTTTTTTTCCAGTTATACATCTTCCAGGAATAAACCCCATGGTCCCTAGTATGGTGATCTCCCTTTAGTTACTGACGATACCTAGCCCATTTTTATATTGTGTTGTACACTGATACTTATGGCTTGTATATATTCTCAACTAGTTTTAAATTGAATCTGTGATATTCTAGTTATTGTACTGTCCTTCGTTGACAGCTTTTTATTTAAACTTAATCAATGTATTATTAATGTACTTCTCGTCACGATATGGCTGAAATACTGCCGATGTGACGTTAATTCTTAACTCACTCACTCACTCCAGGAATAAATCCTGTTTGGTTGTCATGTATAACTGTATTCAATGTTGTCTTTAGTCTATTTGCAATACATGTACGTATCATTTTATAAAGGAAAATGAACAATGTAATTGGACGCCAAATTATTAATACTTGTCTGTCTTTATTAGTTAAGTGTAAGCCAAAGAATTAAAAAAACACAAATATTCTACGATTAAATTCCAGGAAAATGAAATATACTTTGAATGAAGTGGGACTTACGTACCCCCTCAGGGGGACAATTATTTTACGTTCCTTCAGCCCACTTTGAAGGTACCACCACTAACAATCACAGTTGTAAAATCATTCTACCAAATTAAAAATCACATACCTTTTGCATGAATGTTATCAAAATTTGTCTTTTAAGTCAATTTCTTTAAAAACAACAACAATTTAACGAGTACTTACCTGATCAAAAAAATCCTTGATGTATGAAACCTAGAAACGCGAATGGCCAATACAACATCGTTGCATAATGTCCTCTTCAAATCTTGACTGACAACCCAAGTAGGTGTAACCATTAGCTCGTTTTATTGCATTATTCATTAGTACCTACTTGGGTGCCCCACTTATTTTGCATAAGGCCTTTGATATAGCATCTAATTAAAGGTTTGTAGTCGCTGTGTGGTACAAAAAGTGGTGTCACAGATTTGTTGAGAGCTGCCTTTGTTACAGCATCAGCCATAGAGTTACCTGTGATTCCAACATGACTGGGCAACCAGCATAAGACTATGTCGTATTGGCCAGTAGCAAGGTCATTGTATTGTTCTGAATTATATAAAATGAACGGGAGACGTGAAGAGCTCGATTTTATGGCCTGTAGACAAGATAGTGTGTCTGCAAAGATGATCAACCATTGGCTGCTGGGTTGTTTTTGGATATATTCCAAAGCCGTCAATATGGCTTTGGCCTCAGCGGTGAAAATTGAGCTATGGTCTGGTAATTGGGATGATACGGTTTTGGATCCAATGACAGCAGCATTGGAGACTGTGCTACGATCCATGGGTCCATCTGTAAAAATGGGACGGTGGGATTCATATTTATTTCTAACTTGTATATATTCTTGTTGATATATTAATTGATTTGTGTCAGATTTTTTAAAATGAGTAAGAGTAAAGTCTACTTCCGGTCCTACAAGTTGCCAAGGAGGAGAAGACAAATGCCTGAAAGTAGCAATATTATCCAACTCAATGTTTGCAGCTGTGTTGTGGGTTTGGGAACAGCTTAAGTCTGTTAAAAACTGGGATATAAATTGAGGTAAACGACCTCTTAACCCCAAATCGTGTAGTAACATGCTTCCATATGGTATCATACGCTGTTTCTATATGGAAGAAGATTGATACTGCATGCTGATTATTGACAATTGCAGCATTTTTGACAAAAGATTCTAAACGTGCGAGATGGTCAATGGTACTTCTATTTGACGGAAATCACATTGAATGTTACATTTAAGATTATTAGTTTCTCAGTACCACACCAGTTGATTGTTTACCATTCGTTCAATGGTTTTGCACACACAGGTGGGTAGTGATATTGGTCGATAATTAGATGCATCAGTGTAATCCCTACCAGGTTAAGATATGGGGACAAACTTGCATTACGCCACGAAGAAGGAAAATTTCAAGACGTCCAGATCTGATCAAATATATCAAGAAGCGTCTCTAAACATGAATCAGGCAAATGCTTCAGGAGCTGATAGTGAATATTATCAACTCACCTTGCAGTATCGTGCGCTTGACCTTGCGCAGTATTTAACTCGTAGAGCGAAAATACCTCATTATAATCCTTTCCATTTTGAGAAGTAAAATCAACCCTCTTCTTTTCCTGTGGTTTTTGATATTTTTGAAACTTATGATCGTAGAATTAAGAGCTGCAAATCATTATAGTTATTCATCTATACCTCCATTGTATTAGATTCGGCCCATTTCTGGTGTTCCCCGCCGTGATATTGCTGGAATATTGCTAAAAGCGACGTAAAACCATACTCACTCACTCACTGTATTAGATTCGATGATTGAGTGAGTGAGTTAAAAATTTAAGTCACATCGGCAATATTTCAGCCATGTCGTGACTATCAAAAGTTAAATATAATACATATATTGAAACGATTGTAAAAACCTGCCAACGAGGGACAGTAACACAACTAGACGTATCACAGCAATACATTTTCGGCCAGGTCTTTGTGGGGACTGAGGTGAAGTCTGAGCCTGAGCCTGACTGGTTGATCAGATCTGACTCATGTCAAATCTGTCTGACACTGAATAAATAAAGTTTGGACAGGACGGACGATTGCAGCAGAGTAATTCATGATTGAAAAAGTTGTTGACTGACTGGCAACAAGTTGCGTAGTGTCAGCAAATGATATGGCTTTTTTTCGCACTTTGTTTTCATCGTTCAACAACTTGTCATATTCTTGTTGAAAGAGCAACTGGTTTGGGTCAGGTTTTTTAGGGTAGTTAGTGTTAGGTCTACCTCAAGTTTGCCAAGGAGGTGTAGATAGGAACCGGTATGGTGATATAGTAGAAAGATCAATATTAGCCTTGATAATATGTGGCTTAATTCTGTACCCTAGAGGAGGACCAAGTTTTGGTTTTGATTGAAATAAATTTTCATGCATGGGATTAAACACATACATGGGTTTTGCAGAAACCACATTGAATATTTGTTAGCAGATTATTGGTTTCGAAGAACCAAACTAATCTATTATTTACCATCCGCTCCATGATTTTACAGACACAACTGGTTAAGATATAGGGCAGTAATTTGAGGGACTTGTATGATCCTGACCAGGCTTTGGGATAGGGACTACAAGGAAGGAGGAAAATTACCCGACGTCCATATTTGGTCAAATAATGTAAAAGTGTTTCGAGGCATGATTTAGGTAAATGCTTCAGGGGCTGATAGTGAATATTATCAGCACCAGCTGCTGCATCATGAGCATGCCCGACGGTAGTATGTAGCTCATGGAAGGAAAACACTTCATTTTAGTCTTCCCCGTTATCAGAGTTAGAATATTAATATTTTTCTTTTCCTGTTGTTTCTGATATTTTATGAATTCAGGGGCATAATTAGGCGACGACGAATGCTTTGGCAATGATTCACCAAGTTTATTGGCAATGTCTGATTTATCAGTTAAAAACTGACCACCTTTCCTTAAGATGGTGAACAGAAGATTTTGATCCTTTGCCTTGGATTTATTGTACCATGTTCCATACCTTGGGTTACACTCCAGCGACCCTCTGGTGAAACTTCAGTTATGCACCAATTACGCACTGATGTTATCCGGGTTACACTCCAGCGACACTCTGGTGAAACTCCAGTTATGCACCAAATACACACTTGGGTCATTCCGGTTACACTCCAGTGATGCCCTGGTAAAGCTCCGGTAATGCACCAGTTACACACGGGTGTCATTCGAGTTCCACTCCAGCGATGCTCTGGTAAAGCTCTGGTAATGCACCAGTTACACACGGGTGTCATTCGAGTTCCACTCAAGCGATGCTCTGGTAAAGCTCCGGTAATGCAACTGTTACACACGGGTGTCATTCGAGTTCCACTCAAGCGATGCTCTGGTAAAGCTCTGGTAATGCACCAGTTACACACGGGTGTCATTCGAGTTCCACTCAAGCGATGCTCTGGTAAAGCTCCGGTAATGCAACTGTTACACACGGGTGTCATTCGAGTTCCACTCAAGCGATGCTCTGGTAAAGCTCCGGTAATGCAACTGTTACACACGGGTGTCATTCGAGTTCCACTCAAGCGATGCTCTGGTAAAGCTCTGGTAATGCACCAGTTACACACGGGTGTCATTCGAGTTCCACTCAAGCGATGCTCTGGTAAAGCTCCGGTAATGCAACTGTTACACACGGGTGTCATTCGAGTTCCACTCCAGCGATGCTCTGGTAAAGCTCCGGTTATGCTCTAGTTACGCAGAATATTCCCGATGTTGAGTCATACGCGCATTCTGATTGGTTCGTCGTATTTTCGCACATAAAAATTCATTCGTCTTCTTGCAGGTTACGAAATGGGCGAGTGGTGACGAATGTCCTCTGTTGGTATCACATACCATTATTACATTAATCAGAACAAAATATGTTTTTTGCAGGTTGTTTGTAAACTTAGATTCCTCGGAAAATAATCACAACTATATGATGGATCGTATATCACAAACTATGTACGCACATACATGAGAAGATTTTGAAATTTGTGAAAGAAAATGCTTAGTCCAACATTTGTTACAATATGTGTCTTTGATCTTGTATATACCGACACATTTCAAAAAAGGCAAGTTGTGTAATATTTGGCGTAATGTCCCAAAATTCAAATGAAGTTGTTCTGTGCATGAGATACCAGACAACAATGTCTCAACAACAAAATCTGGGGTGGTACAATGTCACGCAATCAACCAAGTCGCCGTGCTTGACCAATTGCAACCGATTCATTGTCACCTCTCACTTCAAGCTGGAGCTCACGTCTAACTCGGAACACCACGGGGTTTGAATCTTACATTGTGGAAATTATTATTAAACCAAAACCCACTTTCTTATTGTCATTTTATTAAACATCTAATTTTACAATCTTAATTTGGAAGCACACCATTAGAATAAATGAGCTGATTTGGTTGATAAATGTCCTCTTTAACAAAATACGTGTTTTTGTCGATAAACTTTGATGCTGGTAGAATAAGAGTTATCGTTCTTGTTTGAAGCAGCATCTGATGTTCATGCCTCTGCATTCCATCAAGGGACACAAGTCTCCTTTTGGCGCGAGTCAGTCACGAAGAATTCAGATGGCATTGAACATGATATGTGTCCGCCATTAGCGTTAACTGTCACACATCTAACACATTTTACTATTCGTGTTTCTGTTGTCGAACATCACATAAAAGCCCGTTGTTTATGATTCTTGTTCTGTATGTTTTGTTGATACCAATTTAGAGGGAAGAATTTGGCAGTAAGACTGGCTGTTACAAATGAAAACCACTCTCCATTATAGTCAGGGACCCCATGTAGGAGGTTAACGCAGTGTTGAACAGTATTCCAGTCATATAACTGCGTGTCAGCGTGAAATGATGCAGGTTGTACACGTTTAGCACTGTTAAAACCAG